TCCATACTTAAAAGCCGATGGGGACAGACCGTCGGAGCCGGAAGCCTTATACCCTTTGAGATAGCTTAATTCTCGGGTAACCTCCATTTCAGATGGAGGACTGGCATTGACTGGCAGTATTTGCACGGTGGAATCGGGTGTAGGGAGGTCTTGTGCTGACGAGGACCAGCTGAACTGTGCCTGTAAATGTTCTGCCTAATGTTGAAGACGACTTTCCTGAATTTGAATCAGTGTGCCGTCAGACTTCTTATTTACCTGACGCCTGCTTTCCTTGGTCCTGTCCTCCTGATTAAACGAATGAGATTGCAACCATTACCGACAGTCGCAGTCTCCTGCATCTCTACACTTTCCTATCCACCACTTCTCGCGGTCATTCCTCAGACTCTTGATGAGTTGGTGTTTAAGGGATTTGCGCGCTTTGTCGTAGTTTGAATCCGAAGGAATGGCTTTGCGAGGGTCCAACAGGGCAAACGAGGTTGGGCGATCCAACGTATTCATATTCAGTAAACTGAATCGGTCGAGACAATCAAAAGCAGCAAATATACAATCGTTTTATTTAAAGGAGGGATCGCAAACATGTCAGCTGGAAACACGGACTTCCCAGTCGATTACCGAATTTAACAAAGTTCTGGTTGATCTACAAGACTGATGGGTGGGGAACACCGAGTTTTGCGGCTATTAACTTAAACAGCGCTCTTCAGGCAGTACTGGTCCCGGTTACAACAGCCCGGGGTTTGTGTGTTCAACCACAGCCCTCCTTTTTATATCCCCTGGGAGCTTTCGATTAAGCGCAGATTACCTGGTCAGAATCTTTCGTATGAATTTCGTTATTACGCATGAAGTGACTTACGGCAAAACGGGGTGGACCCCATGGTCGATGTCATATGTATTATAAAGTGAGGTATAGGAGGTAAAATGCAGATAAAGACCAATTTGCTTATCCTGCTTTTAAAGAGGAACGTGATTTAGGAGTGGTAATACCGAAAGAGGAACGGTAATCCAAAATGTCATGTGCCAAAACCAAATGATCATGTGAAACCGGCAGACTGGGTATCGTAGTTTGACTTAGTGCTTCTCGTGATACAAATGGTGTCAACTATCAACCACAAGGGTCGATTCCAGATTAATCAAAGTAATCACCAACAGTTGGATTTATTTTTATTGTGGGCGAAGGGGGAGTTATCTTTGATCGGTGTGATTCGAGGGGAAACGCTAGCTGAAATAGTCACCCCTATCGGCTTCCTATAAAGAGACCTGAATATGATGGCATGCCCGAATCAATTATGCTGCCGTTAACTGTGTGCCACTAGGTATCACAGCGTCTGCCATTTGCCTTTTTATGCACAACACAGTAGTTAGTTTGGGGCTTATCAAAGGAAATTTAATTGATGTTATTCGGTAACTAAGTGGATAGGCTTAGTCAGTTTCCCGGGAGGGAGGAAGAGGATGGACGAACGGTCCGATTCCGCCCCACCGAAACCTTCATCCTCGCTCGGTAACT